ATGGCGGGGTCGAGGATGCGGTCGGCCTCGACCTCGTCTTCGGCAGGAGGGTGATGGCTGGCTGGTGGCGCGAGGAAAAGCTCGTGCACGGCGTCGAGGTGGTGCCCTTCCTTCTCCCCTCTCATTTACCTCTGGTCTCCTCTCTCGATCCCGTTTTCTGCATCGCTTGGGGTTGGAGATGGCGAGCCGTGGCGGCGCGGAACGGGGGCACGGGCATAGGAGGAGGCCAGAGGAGCTTGGGGGCGAGCTCGAGGCAGGAGAGGCGCTAGCGGCAGAGCACGAAGAGGAGCGAGGCCGAGCTTGTCATGCGGCAGACGAGCTCGCCGAACAGTGCGGCCACGGCCTCGTTGCGGACGGCGGAGAGAGCACGAATATGGTTGGGTTCTCCTTCGGGTGGGGGAACTCCGTCCCATCCTCCGGCATCCTCTCCCGCGAATTTGGGCCGCCGCCGAAGAAATTTTCCAGAAAGAAGCTCCGACCCACCTGAACGCGATGTGTTATTCTATGCCACGGTACGCCTGATCCTCCACGTCCTGAACAACGGAACATGAACTTCGATGAAACCGGCGGCGATTGCCTAGGCCCCGAACAAAAAACTGTACGACGATTTTCCAGAGAACCGGACCGGCATTTTCATTTTTTTTAAAGAACCGGACCGGGCCAATGAGGACCCTATCTTAAATCTCCACCGTTCCACCCTTATCAACCCCGCCTCCAACCCCTTTCGTTATCTATCTTTCCCTCCCTCTCTTAGGCTCCTCTGCTCACTACTGCTACCCCTTCTGCTCCTGCACCTCCATCCCAGTAATGCTTAGCTTGTAGACAGTGCACCTACCTCATCCCAGCTGCCTCTCTCCTTACCTTAGCTGATTGCTTGGGAAATTGACCTTCCATTTTGCTTCCTCAGGCCATCGGTACATCCTTGCCGGTGTACTGTCAAGAGCAGCTGAGCGCAAGGCCATCAGTAAATTCTTGGACCTGCTATTTATTATTTAGTTTCATATATCTTCGCGCGCGCGCGCGTGTGTGAATTCACAACTGTGTGGCCTTTTCTTGGCAATTTTTGTTTTAGCGTGCACTTAATCGATATCCCTGGTGGCTTCTGTGTTTCGATATGTTTATGTGCATAACATTGTTCGTGCCTCCCTCGATGTGCAGTGTGGGCATGGAACAACGAACACTGCTTCGCAGTTAAGCTCTCTCAAATTCCAATTCCCAAAACATCTTTATCTTATTGTGAACTAGTTACGTGGAATCCAGAAGTTTTAGCATCTCTGCCTGTGTCATGGTAAATTAGCCTCTTGTATCTGTGCTGCGGCCCCAGCGAGCTGGATGTATCGGGTGTTTGCTTTATAATATAAAGCGGGGGGAAACCCTTTATCGTAATTAGCCTCTTGATTTCTTGAGTCTGTTCCCATGTCCCTCGTTGCAGGCATGGTTTGAATTTCAGTCCCCTACTGCCTTGTTCACCCTTCTGTAGTCATCTTCTTTCTATCCATCATTTGCGCAGATTTTATGTCGAAGTGATTTTTCTTCTTTAAAATGGATTAGATGTAACTTAGTCCATTGGTTCTGCTAATATACCTTATACTTATCCCTTCGTAGCTGGCCGCTTGATGATTTATTTTTTGGATTTCAGTCAGTTGTACCGTATATATATCATTACACACAATTATCTCACTTGGAATCAGAGGAGGTAAAAAAATGTCGACTTGAATTGATGTTACGGTGTTAACGCAACCATTGTTGCTTGCACTTCATTCTCACCATTGGTGCATCTTCTTCTGGTCAATCCTGTGTTGTGGGGTGTAACTATGTCTTTTTCACGTCTAAGTAGTGTTTATATACACATGTCAATGATAGCTCCCTGTTTTGTCCTAACTTCAGTTTTATAGCCCTACCCCTGCAACCACCATCACTCTCTTCTATTCTGTTCCTTCTAAAGTCTGCCACATGTTTAGGTAGCGGTTGTGAATCCAACTGATGTTTAATTTTCTTTTCGACCGTATGATCTAGGTGGGAATCTTCTGCTGAGCTTGCTCGCCTTTTGGCGCGTGTATGGCGCCCAAGAGCAAGCGTGGCAAGGCCAAGGGCGAGAAGAAGAAGAAAGATGAGAAAGGTATTGTTGACATGACACCTTGATTGGCTTTTGCTTGCAATAGTTGGAGAAGATAGTTGCTCTCTTGAGCTGATCATTTGCGAATTTCTTCGATGAATTACCAGTGCTCCCTGTGGCCATTGACATCACCGTCAACCTCCCAGATCAGTCCGATGTCATTCTCAAGGTTTAGCTTCTTGCTGCCACAGTTCTTTCTGCACTGTTTGTTTTCCTTGATGCATGATTTCAGCAACAAGTATTCCTTCTTCGCTTGGCGCAGGGGATTTCCACGGACAGGATCATCGATGTGAGGAGGCTGCTCTGCGTCCACACTGCCACATGTGCAATCACAAACTACTCTCTCTCGCATGAGGTATTTATAACGTTTTCTTTTTCTCTTCATACTATATTACCGCAGTGAACATCTTTTAATTCAATCCTGTTATATGATTTCATTTGTCGGTAGACTCGTGATGGTCACTTGAAGGATGGTGCTGATGTTGTGACACTGAAGCCATATACTCTCACCCTGGTAGAAGGTACATCTTATATCTGCAAAATGAGGATTTATTTTCTCAAGGCATCTTTAATCGACCCAAATAAATTTCTAATCACCCAAACCCTTTTTTTACTTAGGTTCATCTAATCCATTCCCAAAACATGCATAACTCCCAGAAGGTTTTTAGCTGACACAAAAAACAACCCTCCCCTTCTAACATTTTGGTTTCCACCGCTGCCACACGATGCCCTCCCCAATACCCGCCACGCGCGAGAGTAAAATATTGTTAGGGTTGTTTGCCATAATATTTGCTGTGAGAGTCAGCAAACACTAGATGTTTGTAACATACATGATGGCTAAATATATGTTATACAACTTCAATTTTAATGCATTTTATTATTGGGGTTCGATTAGAATGCAGCATCCAAAAATGCATGATATTTTGGTAGTTAGATTTTAAGAGTGTTTTTTTTAAGTTGACTTTTGCGGTTGGATTAGAGATACCCTTAGATTGGTTAAGCCCATTGTTTCTAGACGTGTGTCCTGTAAATTGTACCTTTGCACACCTATACACCTGACTGCACCTTCATTTGCATAATTTTGTCTTTGATTTCCATATGTCCTATTATTACTATTAAATTCTCTTCTATAGTGTCTAGGGATAAACCATCCGTAACCGTACATCTTAAACTCCAAAATTTCACAATGCAGGGGAGTACGACGAGGATAGCGCATTGGTGCACGTACGGCGGCTGCTGGACATCGTTGCATGCACCGCCTCCTTCGGCTCTCCGCCGCCGCCTCCGCCTCCTCCATCCCCCAAGGATGCCGATGCCACCAAGGAGCCCTCCAACTCCAGCTCCAAGCCTGCAGCAGCTGCCTCCTCGGGTGGGCGCCGCATGGGCTCACCGCCGCCCCTGCCCAAGGAGTCAGCTGCAAAGGATGCCAATGCAGCGTCGGCCAAGGAGGACGCTGTCTCAGCAGAGCTGGAGGCAGAGATGAGCGGTGCATGCCCCCGCCTCGGAGCGTTCTATGAGTTCTTCTCCCTCGCTAACCTCTCACCGCCCCTCCACTGTAAGTAAAACCTCTCTCACAGCCTTTCCAAAGCCCTGTAACTGATCTATCTATTTCACGCTCCCGTTTCATGACTTCTGACTCGAACTGTAAACTTATGCCCAATGCTACGTGCCGGCAGACCGATCCCAGCCCCGGATCGGCCCCTTCCCGAGCCATAGATTGCTTTTCACTGTGGCCGTTGGACCTCGCCCAACACAGCGCATAGGAGGAGAACAGCGTTCGCATCCCGCGCTCACAGGAGCACACGGGGAAGAGACGGCGCGCACATCTCATGCTTACATGGGCGCACAGAGCCTACTCCCACTCGCCTCGCTCGCAATATCCCACCCGCGCCCGCAAGAGCCTCGTCGTTGACGGCTCGCAGAGTCGCACTCCCCGTATGCAGCACAGGCAGCAGCAGCGCGGGCTGGCTCGCTCCCAGCAGCCCTGCCGTCCTCGCAGCAGCCCTTGCCGGCGCTCTTAGCGGCAGGCGTCACCGGTCGCAGCATCAGGTGTCTGGCTCGCAGCGGTTGCCGTCGCCGTCGCAGCATAGGCCGTCCGACTCGTAGTAGTGATGTTGCCGCGTGCTCGTAGCAGAGGCTGTAGCCACTCACAGCACCAGTCATTGCCGATGCAGTAGTGCGGCCCTGGCTCGCAGCAGGAGCCGTCACCATAGCAGCACCATGTCCGCGCGCTTGTAGCAGTGGCCGCCGCTGTTCGCAGCAGTTGTTGCCGCCGTCGCAGTACCCGGTGGTCAGCATCGCACCTTGTGGTCACCGTCTAGCACCACCTTACAGTAGCGACAACAGCGGTAGCAGTATGGGCACGCGGTTATCTGTGGGGTTTGCAGCAGTGATGGTGCAGCCTGGCAGTGCGGTGGTCGGGGGTTGCAGCAACGGAGGTTGATGC